GACAGACCCTGTCGGAGTCGCGCACTTCCTGGGCCTCCCCTTAGCTGAAACGGACGCCAACATTGACTGAACCGATCCGAGCGAGGCTTATTAGCCGCTCACAACAACAATAACAAGCAACTCGTCACGTAAAAATGCATATTTCGGATCATTACAGTCGTGAACGTACTGGTCGTCTCGTATACCGAATTACAAGACGAGCAGTACGTAGTGAATGTTGCCCTATGGACGGACAACCTCTGAGATACTTCGCCGACCTAAACGGGGTTAGATCGCCGAAACCACAGCCCTTGGTCGGGTGAAACCCGAGTCATTCCGGTACGTAGAACCGGCTGTCGTGGGAATGTAGGGACTAGTAGGACGCAGTGGACGAAGCTACAGACGGTACAAAATACGGCACTTAGGACAGCGACGGGATGCCTTCTGATGTCGCCTGAACACCACTTGCACGGCGAGGCGCAAATGCTCCCAGTTAAGGAGCATAACATAATGCTCTGCAAGCAGTTCCTGATCGGGAGCCACAGAAGTGGCCACCCAAACAGACAGCTGCTTGCAGAGGAGCCCTCGCCTAGGCACGTCAGGAGGCATCTATATGAACTGACGGACGAAGTCCAGAGGTTCATTAAGCAACCTCTGGACCCGACAGCGTACAGGCAGGCCCTGAACGGCATTCACAGGTACTCAGTCTCGAGATATGTAGACTCCAGACCTGTGAATGCCGTTCTAGGCATACCACCCCCGGACATTGACGAGACAGAGCTTCATCTGCAACGTATGCAATAGATACCGTTGTCGGTGAACACCGCGTAGAAGGGCCTACGACCTCCGCGGCTGTTTCTGAGACAGCAGAGCCACCCGTACGGACAACGACCCAAGAAGTGCCCTCCACCAGAGAGTTGGAGGAGCTAGCAGAGGGCCTGAACCTTCGCAGTCCAGGCAGAGAACCGGAGGACCTAACGCTCTCAGAAGTTGATGAGCCAAGGGTCCAGAGGACAAAATGACCACGCCACAAATCAAAATCGCCCAGATCAACCTCCACCACGCGATAGCCGCATCAGCTGTTATTGCAAATAAATGCACAACGGAGGATCTGGGCATCGTACTTGTGCAAGAGCCGTGGGTTTACAAAGGTCAGGTGAGGGGCCTGACGGAGAGATCGACTAAGGTAATCTGGGATCTATCATGTGATAACCCAAGAGCTTGTGTAATGCTAAAAAAGGAAATTAACTATTTCTGCATTTCAGAGTTTATGACTAGAGACCTGGTGGCAATCCAGATAATGACGGATCTGTGCGGGAGATCAAGAGCGATAATAGTCGCATCGGCCTATTTTGCAGGCGATTCCGCCATACCACCGGAGGAAACTAAAAGACTGGTAGAGTACAGCCAAAAAAGATGCCTTCCATTGGTCATTGGGTGCGATGCCAACGCGCACAGTGTGCAGTGGGGCAGCACTGACACCAACAGAAGAGGTGAGAGATTACTAGAATTTTTACTAAGTAGAGACCTTAGCATCTTTAATGTGGGTAGCAAGCCTACGTTTGTAACTAGGGTAAGAGAGGAAGTTCTAGATATTACTCTCGGGAACAGCTGGGCTGATGACTTGATCTCGGACTGGAGAGTCTCTTCGGAGCCCTCGATGTCGGATCACAGAATCATACAGTTCTCCCTTGAGGCCACTATGAACAGAGGTACACCCAGTAGGAATCCTAGGAAGACTGACTGGGTTAGTTATCATAATTTTTTAGAAACCAATCTAAGTTCCATAAAGTTAGAGAACAGGGCGAAACGATGGGTGGAATTGGAGGCAAAGGTTGGCAGCCTAAACGAGGCAATAAGCAATGCTTATGTATCGAGCTGCCGACTAGCAGAACCAAGGGGTCAAAAACGTAACCCATGGTGGAACTCCAAACTCTCAGGCCGCCGGAAAGAGGTCAGGAAACTCTTTAACCGGGCAAAACGGACTGGGAACTGGGACGACTACTCGTCAGCCCTAACCACCTACAACAAAGAGATTCGCGAAGCCAAGAGAAATAGTTTCAGGAGATTCTGTGAAGGCATCAGCTCCACTCCGGAAGCGGCCAGGTTACACAGAGCACTAGCTAGAGGCACAGTGGAAAGCCATATGGCAATAAAACAATCAGATGGAAGCTACACTCGAAGTGAGGAGGAGAGAGCTCTGGCTCTACTAACAACCCACTTCCCAGGAGCATTGCCTCCAGTAGCAGAAGATAGCGACGTTTCCTATAGACCCGCTGCGGAGGACTGGGGGACAGCAAGGCGTCTGTTCACCCGGTCAACTGTGCGATGGGCTATTAACTCGTTCGAGCCCTACAAGACCCCTGGGGTAGACGGTCTATGGCCGATTCTACTCCAGAAAGAACTGGATCTCCTAACCCCGATCCTAACCAATGTTATGCGGGAAAGTCTGGCACTGGCATATCTCCCACAACTGTGGAGAAGGGCCAATGTCAAATTTATACCCAAAATTGGCAAAAAAGACTACTCAGAGGCGAAATCCTTTCGCCCGATCAGCCTAACATCGTTTGCTCTAAAGGCGATGGAGAAAATCCTAGACAACCACATCAGAACCACCACCCTGGTTTCGCTACCGTTACACCATGGGCAACATGCCTATCGGGCCGGTAGGTCAACGGACACTGCGCTGTTCCAGTTGTCAACTACCATACGGAATGCAATTGAAGGGGGTGAGGTCGCGCTTTGCGCATTCTTAGACATTGAAGGAGCCTTCGACAACACCTCACATGAGGCAGTAGATCGAGCTCTAGAGAAGAGAAACGTAGTCGCCCCGATCAGAAGGTGGATCGGAACAATGCTACGAACCAGACTAGCAGAAACGGCAGTAGGAAATAAAATCTTACAGCTGAGAACAGTTAAAGGATGCCCTCAGGGGGGAGTATTGTCCCCCCTCCTATGGAGCATATTAGTAGATGAACTACTCGAGTTACTGTCCAATAATGGCATAATGTGCCAAGGATACGCGGATGATATAGTAATCATAGCGAGGGGCAAATTTGAGAACACCCTCTGCGACATAGTGCAAAGAGCACTTACCCTTACACAAAGATGGTGCGGCACGGTGGGCCTCAACATCAACCCCGCCAAAACCGCCATCATTCCGTTTACCAAGAGAAGGCACCTCCCAGGCATGCACTCCATAACACTGGGAGGTATAGAGCTAGAAATGTGCAATGAGGTAAAATATCTGGGGGTCATTCTTGACTCCAAAGTCTTATGGAAGAAGCACGTTGAGTACGCTGTCACAAAGGCCACAAGGGCGCTTATGGTGTGCAGAAGACTGGCCGGCAAATCATGGGGATGCAGCCCCTATATCCTAAGGTGGATGTACACCATGATAGTCAGGCCAATAGCTACTTATGGAGCGGTGGCATGGTCCGAGAGGACCACACTCAACACAGTGAGGGCATCGCTCTCTAGGCTCCAGCGGTTGGCGTGCACATGTATAACGGGGGGCCATGCGCACCTGCCCCACCGCAGCCCTGGAGGTCATTTTGGACCTGACGCCACTGCACATAGTGATAGAGCAGATCGCCAAAAAAGCCATCCTCAACTTCATGAAGGAGGGCACTGGCAGAGGGAAAGTGATCTCAAGCCGATTGGGAGATGAAATTAGATCTAAGATCCCTATCTCCCAGCTCAACAGAGATGACATGAGTACAACGACAATCTTTGAGAAGAAATTCAGGATCGAACTAGGCAGCAAAGCGACCTGGAATGAGACAATCTTAGAAAACACCTTCAGGGCTCACACCCAAAGGTGGTTCACAGATGGCTCAAAAACCGACGAAGGGATAGGAGCTGGAATATCTGGCCCTAGGGCTAAGATCTCCATCCCCCTGGGAAACTACCCCAGTATATTTCAAGCGGAGGTTTACGCCATAAGTGTTTGCGCGGAAATAATTCTGCAGAGACAAGCAAGACTGCAGCATATAGTTATCTGCAGCGATAGTCAGGCCGCATTAAAAGCCATATCCTCGTGTGAGATTAAATCACGAGTGGTATGGGAATGTGTAGCGAGATTAAACACCCTGGGGGAAAACAACACACTACAACTGGTGTGGGTCCCGGGCCACAAAGGCATACAGGGAAACGAGGAGGCTGACAGACTAGCAAAAGAGGCCGCAGCCACTCGACCCATAGGCCCTGAACCCTTCCTTGCAGTGGGGCCTCATATAATCAAGGAGGAGTTAAGAACAGAAGAGCGAAGGTTAAGAAGAGCACACTGGGAGAACACGCCTGGGCTAAGGCAGGCGAAAGAACTTCTTGGAGGATATAATCCCAAAAGATCTAGGGAACTTATAACCCTTAAAAAGACAAACCTGAGATTCTTGACAGGAATGCTAACGGGGCACTGCAGACTGCGGGCCCATATGCATAACCTGGGGATCAGTGCGAACGATCTATGTCGGTACTGCGACATGACACCAGAAACCCCGCGGCATATCCTATTTGAGTGCGATGCGGTTGCGAGAAGAAGGCTAACACACCTGGGAAGGATGTGGCCAGAGGCTATGCATATACACTCTCTACCTCCCTCGAAACTGCTCGGATTCATCAGAGCATTGGGACTGGACGATGTGTTATGATGAGCTCCGAGGGCACAATAGACCTAAGGTCGCAGTGCACAGCCTCTAACATTCTATCTATCTATCTATCTTCATCTGCCTCGGAAGACACGCACTACACTCGCTCAACTTCGCTCCGGCTACTGCAGCAGGTTAAACTCCTACTTGAGTAGGCTGAATGAGGATGTGCCGAACGAATGTCCGGCATGCGGAGAGACCCCACATGACTCGAACCATCTCTTCGCATGCCCGGAAAACCCGACAACCCTAACGGCCTTGTCCCTGTGGACAGATCCCACAGAAGCTGCACGCTTCCTAGGGTTGCCGTTAGTGGAACTTGACGACAACGACTGAGATACCAACCGATCTGGGCGGGGTTGTTGTAGCCGCTACAACAGCAACAACGAGCAGTACGTTCACGACTGTCATAATCCGAAATATGCATTTTTACGTGGCGAGTTGCTCGTTCACGACTGTAAACTTTGGAGCCCTGATTTAAAGTATATTTTTGAGTAGAATACCTGAATGTTGTCCACGGTGAGCCACATGATCTCCTTTTCAAGTAGGGAGTCATCTTCTCCAGCGCTAACTGTGGCATAATACTGCATACATTCAAGCAGGCCCTTCCAAGTCGTTTTGGACACAAGTGACCTATCCCGCCAGACTGGGCGGTGAACGCGTTGCAAAATCTCCGCTTTGGCGGCACTAATGATTACGTAGCCAGACGTCTCGCATCCCTTAAGCAGCACTTGAGAATTGACCAGTGATATTGACCAATTTTCGTGGATCACATCCTGAGCTGAGCAGGCCTGCAAACCCTGTAGCTGCAATTCCCGCGACTGTGTACTTTGATCATCGCTATAAACATTGAATTTGTGATCAGCTTCAGCTATTAATTGCTGCAACATCGCTGTAGCATGGCTGGCCGGTTGCACCTTCTTCATTGCACTGTTGGTACTTGTGACTGAAAAACATCGATGTAATTAGTTGCTTGCAAATCAACTATCAGAATACATAAAATTTTGAATGTACTCACTTGGTAGTACTTCGGTTTGGTTATTTGTGAGAGTTATTGTACTATCGCTGCGTTTGTTTTTCATAACATTGGAATTGGTCTCTTTGCGATAGCTTTTTACAGCTTCCGTCGACAAATTGTTCTTTAGCTTCTGTGACTTCATGAAAGAATCAAAGAGCGCAAACGCAACGTCACGATTATTTTTGGTCCATGCGCCCTTAAGGTCGTAAACGACCAGTTTATGCGTGGGCGTTGTATTTTTTGCTTTTGTCTCTTCCTCTTGGCTATTTGCGGTTTGTATGAGCGCCTCTCGACCATATGAAACTTTCGCCACGCTTAAAAAGTAGAATCTCACTATTTTGAAGGCATCCCCCACACTTGCTAGGTTCTCTGAACTGCTATCTAATTTCTCAGTAAGTATACTCTTCAACCATATTTCAGCATCGTTTAATTCGCAATTCATATACACAGTGGACCAATCAGCACGCGGTCTATGAATAAGTCCATCGTCAATGGGATTTAACGATAAACAATATTCCGAGCTAAAAGAAACACGCCCACCATTCAATTGGAAACCCTTGTGCAGGGCATGAGACATCCAGTATAGTACTTGGAAACGATGCAAACTCATTTGCAAGTTTGCTTTTTTGTAATGTCGACTGAGTTGCTTTTTTCGAGGGCGCACATTATTAAATACCGGCCCGCGTCGGGTTGGACGGGTAACGCCTGATAGAATCAGCTTAAGGCTCTCGAACCAGCGGAGAGTGCTGCCGTATAGAACCAAGCTGGGAATGTCGATTTCCACCTCCTCGCCAGGCTTCGGTTTTGTTTCAAAAGAAATCCAAATATTCAAGTTAAGTGAACGAAAGGCACGGAAGGAATCATGAACCTGGTTGCTGGAATATTCTGGCAGCTTGTCCGGCGCACAAGGCATAACCGCGTGATGATCGTTTGGATTCGCCAAACAAACCCAATTCAGCTTAAAGGTCAATTTCAAGTTAGGAAAGTGTAATAGACGGCAATCATCGTAACGCGATGCGGTACGTACTGTAATCTGTTATGGTATCCCATGAAAAGGTACAAATATTTTATATACTTGTTTAGAAATACATACATTTAATTCGCCTTTGAACATAATTTTAGCATTTGTCCATACAATGCCAGCATTGTTCCATGTCAACTCCATTTCTTCTGTCGTATTATAGGGATCCAGCGAAGCGTGCAATAGAACTGTGAATTGCTTAACAATCATGGTTAACCGACCATGAAAGAGAAGGCGCATTTTATCCCAGAAAGGCAGTGGTGGACTGGGATCTTTGGATGGCGCAGAAATTTTCTCAAAACTAAGATTGCATTGTGCCATTACCGGTTCCCAACAGGGTCCAAAAGCGTAGCTACAAAATTCCAACTCGCAATCGAAGTCATGGTAAAACTTTAAAGATGGCATGCTGCGTTGGACTACATCGGTGCCAAACGGCTCGCCAACTTCAATGAAAACATCTCGTTTCGCCCGTTTGGACGCTGCTTGCTCAGCTCCGCATAAATTACCAAATAGATGCATAGATTTAACGTAAAACATTGGCTGTGGAAAATCTCTGCGTATTAAAGAAAATTTATTCGATAAATATACATGCTTTACACGCAACAATTGTCTTACCGTAACATAAATTTCCATTCTGTACAGCTTATATTTACGCTACGACACCAAAGTGTAGTGAACTCCAGACCTTCTTCCGGCCAAGGGCTTTCGCAGTCAATGTCACGCATTATACGGGCCACATTATCAGCGCCATGGACCGAAGGATCTGCCATTGCCATTATTTCTACGTCTGTCATAATCCATGCCAGCAATCTAGTACGGACTGGCCCGCTTTCTCTAATTTTTTTCGAGCGCTGAATGTATATCTCAGAGTTTTTCTGAACAAGACTCGCATACAGACTTTCAATCGTGCTTGCTGGAACCAGGCAACGCTCGGCAATTTTTTTATCGAAAATTGCTTTGCGTTTTAGACCCTCTAAATATTCGTCCACAAGCAGAACGTAGTTATCACGCAACTTGACTTCAAAGGGATCATCGCTGATTTCCAATAAAAATTCTTTTATCTTTAAATAAAAATGTAATATAGTAAAATTTGCTTGAAGGATATTATCACCTAGAACTTTAATAAATAATCGGCCCTATGCTGAATATCGCTATCGTCATCGTCGACGATCGTCAGCGCATCAGTAACATGGCTGACGATGGCCGTATTCGACATAGGGCGGAATAAAAACAACTTACTTGTATAACCATATCACTTGGCAAAGGTGAGCTGGCAGTAAATGCTTTCTTTTTGTAGTTGTGTACCAATTTAAGCCATTTGAAATGCGACACAAACTCATTTTGTATAGCATCATAAAAATCATGGTCGTAAGGAAAGATGGCCTTCACATAAAAATTAAGTTCAAAAGCTGTTAATACCAACTCTATAAATGAAAAGTACCTTAAATGCCCCAATTGTGGTAACCCAAACTTTATTGGTTAGCAGCACAAAGCCATCACAATTTACACGCTCTTGCGTCAGCATATCCAAACGTGCCAGTGACTGTACATCTATATCTTTCAGTGTAAATATATGCTGATCATCTATTTTAATGAATATATTTTCTGCCGAGATGAAGTTTTCTTCTTTGTGACTGAAGAATAAGTTCTCTACAAACCACTGAACTGTGCGCCTTTCAGAAAGCTTAATTTCAAAAACGGTACTCAACTCAGCTGATAGTTCAATAATCCATGGTCGTTGAAAACGCTCCGACTTCATTTCAGGATCGGGCTGAGGTAAAGCTAGTTCAGTGCATAAATCTCTCATATCTCTGGCCAAGGTCAATATGTGCATGTGCAAATTAGAGTTCCACGTGCCTTCTGTATTGCTAGGAATGTATACCGAAATTTTGTTTTCATTTTTTTCATGCTCAATGCGTACGGTTTTGCAGCTTGCGAATATGTCGGTGAAGTCGTTGAGACAAAGAGATGAAGAGTTCATTGAGCGCATAATAGCCATTTGAAATTCTTCAAATTTGAAGCTGGATACTTGTTGCTTACGTGATAATGATATGTCTGAGAAACTTAAAAGCAAACACGCTTGGTGATGGTTTATAAAATAGGCGGTTATATCTTTAATCCGTGCAGAAATCAGTAATCCACTTGATATTGGATTCGTGCCGGCTAATTGGCCCCGCAATGGTCGTTTCCCAGCGCTAACTGTTGAAGAATTCAGACCTCCATATTGTTTGACACAGTTAACTGATTTCACAATAAACTCAGCCAAACTCATACTATATTCGGTACGTAATGTATGAATGGATACCTCTAGTTTTGTGACACTAGCATACGAACTCAGTTTGACTAAACTAAGTCCCAAAAAGAATGGAGAGCCTGGAGAATGTGATTTCTTTAAGTTATTAGTATCATTTATAGAATTTCCCAATGACCACCACAGCGACTCAATCATCAATTCGGTACTCCAATGGCGCTGATTCAGTATCAAATTCAACATTCTATTTCCGTACGAAGAACTACGTTTTTCTTCGATTTGTTCCAAAAGAAATCGTGTATGACTAACACTCATGGCGGCGTTTTCATCATCCAGTTTCATGAGAATTGATACATTCCAAAATTCTGCGCAACCTGAATAATCAATGAAATCAATGTCGGTTTAATAAATTGGAAAGTAGCGATGTATTGCCCATTTCAACTTCATACCTTTTACTACTGTACGTTTTAATATACCCTCTAGTAAGCCACTTCCTAAAGCGTTTTCGGTAGGAAAAGCATAAAATGTTTCTGTGCCTAAGTGATCCGGCAACGAACGTTGTTTTTGACTTAGCTGCAAGGGCTGTGGGCTGGAACGCTGGCGCGACAAGAAATTATTATGCACCCAATCATAAATTTCACAGTGATTGTAGATTATTTGGAACGTTTTAAGCTTGACGTAAAGATTTAAGATGTCGTTTTCCAACTAAGGATAAAGTAAGATATTAATAAAATGTTCTTTTTGTGGCAGATTGAAATTAGTTTTGTACTTACTACTGAATCAATTGTGAATTGCTCAATAAAAAGGAGCTTTTCATATTTGGTGTCAATGTCCAAATGTTGTAGTAGGACTTTGGTAAATAGTGTTGGGAGATTTGCATCCTCATTCAATGATTTGGAATTGAATTTTCCGGTAATCTAAAAGTAACATATGTATAACGTATATATATGAATTGAGATTTCGCCAGAAAATTAAGGTCCTTACACTGAACAACTGTATTTTTGCACTGAAGTCATTTTGAGAATTCTCTTTAACCGCAGAAAATGTAGCTGCCTTAATTACAAAATTAAAATTCTTTGGTATTATAGGCGCAATCTTTTGATAAGATTCGTTACTGAAACTTTTACGTCGCTGCGTCAGTGAATTGGCTGTACTTCTTACTTGGCTTTCCAAATTTTGCTGTGGCCTGGTACGTTGTTTTGCTTCGCTCAAGAAATCGTATAGGCTGCCGTGTATTGTAGATCGCGCATTGTTCATGGCTAATGAAAGTTTCTAAAAGACTTAAAAAATTAGGTTTTTTTTTAATGATATTTTCAAAATGTATTACGTCTACGGATAGAGGTCCATGTGCAAATAATGTGGCGTCCAAAGCAATATCAAAACTAATTTCGCCTAAGCAAGGACGAATTTTATTAAGATTCTCCAAAGATTGCCGGCGTGATGGACAGTGTCGTAACATTTTCGCCTATAAATAAATAACACCTATATATAGCGGTCTATTTTATAATACTATTTTTTTTTTTTTACCTGGGCATCATTAAGGGCCGCGTTAACTAATAATGTTTTGGCGTTATGTACTATACTTCCATCTAGATGCAGTTCTCTAGCTGTAGCATGAATAAACCATCCCGGATCGAAATTATTATTCATGAGAACTACAGAAATATTGTTTATATGCATGGCCATAAACTATGAATTATTAGATTGAAAATTTGTATTATGTCATAAAAATCAATACTTTCAAATTGAAAATTCGCACCTGTGCAAAAGTGAGAATACTTGGCGGAACTTTAGCACGCCGGAAATCAGGCACATCTTTTTCCTCTTTCTGTTGAGATTTGAGTTGCGTTCGTTCAGAATCGCCTAGTGTCCCCAAAGCACCATCGTTGCTCTGGATATCTTTATTTATGCGTAGATCCCGTATATAGATAGAGAGTAACTTTGTCACCTCTGTGTTAAAGAAGCTGCTACGTAGGCAAATTTCTTCAATTTGCTGAAAATTTATTTATTTAATAGGGAAACTGCATATTAAAACACTTAATAGGTACTTACCACCATGAATCCACTTTTGCTAACGTGCACATTTCGTAGAGCTAAATAACGTAAGCTAATACCGCCTATCCTCACTTTTACCCTAAACTTTTTTACTAAATACCAACTGATTCCTTTAGGTAGTATCCTTAAGAAGCAAACGAATAATTGATGTTTCCGTGAACCTGAATCAATTGTTTGACTTCATTTACTTACCAGTATGCCAGTAAAAATACTAGCACAATGAATATTAATAACTTCAAGAGCATTCTCCCAATTTTATTCGTCACATCATCTTTATGAATAATTAACTACCACCTTTTATGCAAATTTACAAGAAATATGAGGATCACCCTGAAAATTTAGAAAATATTTTATTGACGTTTCCCACCTCACAAATTAAATCAGCTGTTTGAGTTATAGCAGGAAAATAATCGTTAGTATCGATGTTTTCCAATTTCCCCCACTATCGATGTTTTTTCTATAACTATCGATGGTTTTTTCCCATAAGTCAAGGCATATCGAAAGATGGCATACAGCCAGCCATGGTTGCCACTCGCCAACATTTTTTTCTACCAAAATCTCTTAAGAAAAGTTACCAGAATCTTCACTTCTGCAGTGAAAAAAAAATATACTGAATAACTCTGCTATATTTCATAACAAATATGTATATCCTTACTTGCACTTAATAAATTCAATATTTTTATAATTTGTCAATTTTTGATTATTTATCAAGAGCTCCCAGTTCTAGCACAGAAGTTTAAATCTATTTTCTTGATAAATTATTAAGATTGAAAATGCTATTGACAATTATAATATATTTATTTTATTATAAAATATTTTTCTGTCAATTAATTAATGCATGTGCCGTTTTTCTCATTTTCGTAGTTGGTGTTTCCGACAGGGTAGGAGTATGATGTAATGTGGAACGATTTTCCATCATCCCTTGTCAAATTTGGTTTGGAGACAAACCGGTTTCGGCGTTGTGCCATTTTCAGTATAATTTTTCGTTCGGAATGTGCCGATACTTGGACCTGCGATTCACGGAATAACCGTTCGTTTGGCTCGTACAAAATTTCGAGTAAATTGCGAAAATTGCTCATTTTTTTGCTATTTTTTCGGTTTTTCATAATCTACTGTACGTCGAAATATATGTCGGTAGATGGGTCTGGTAAAAAGCATGCGATATTTTTTTTTTGCCGGAATAATCAAAACGATTTATGGACCTTACCAAAAATTGCCAGATGGCCAGTATTAACATGTGAGAAGGTAGAATTCAAAATGTATCGCAAAAATTCGAAAGTTGTTTTAAAAGTGCAGCCCTTGGTGCTGCCACTGTAATTTAAATATTTCCAGTATTCGAATATGAGATGACTCTAATTTAATCGAAGTAATTTTGTAAAAGTGTCAGTAGTGCTGCCACTGAAACTCGAAGGGTTTTTATAATTACGCACATTCAAAACATAATTCATTTCTTTCTAGTAATGCAAATAGATATTTAGTTGCAAAAGTTACCAAAATGAAATAAAAGTTACCAAGTTACCAAACCGTTTAAAAGTTACCAAATTTGGTAGAAAGTTACCAATTGTGGCAACCATGCAGCCAGCATACAGCCCGATTCTGAACATGATGCAATAATACAAGGTGTTATTGGTTGGCAACTTCTCTAATTTCGCCATATTGACTGCCTTAGCTGAATCAGTGTTACGTCTTTAACAATTCTTTGCCTAATAATGTAGTTGTTTTTTTTTTTTTTTCTCTGTATACACATTTTGTTTCCTCAAAAAGGTGTTATATCTTATTTTATTTAATTTCATTGCGAAAATACTATAAAAAAGCTAATATTGTTTAGAAGAAAATATGCAATCTTATATTTTTCCCCCAAATGGGGATTCATTTCTTCCCGTTTTTCTTCTTATTCTACTGAGCTAAGGCAGTGTCAAATTGAGCTGTCACAACTGATACCACCTTGTATTATTGATTCATGGATTCTGAATAGAAACTCCCTAGGAATTTTTCCCCATTTCTCTTTTCTCCTATCATGAATAAAAATTCCCTTAGGATTTTTTCCTCTTTTACCTATTCTCCTATTCTAAACGATCTTCGAAAAAAGGAAAAAGTATTTCGGGGAAAAAAGTACGTATTACGAATGTCAAAACGGAGGAGAATTGATTTCGTTATTCTGGGAGAATTTTCACCGGTATTTTAAAAGGGAACTGCTACAAAAATGTAAATTAATTACAATTTAAAGGAAATTTGGTGTAATGAAACTTTTAAACCTTTCATTTTACGTCCAAAATAACAAATGAGAATCAGGTAGAAATCTTAATAAGCCTAATGGAAGCTAGGTTATTTTGGTTTATTACGTGAAAACGCGCGATTGAAATCAAAATATTTCAACTCGCAAGTGTAGTTAAAAGACTAAGTTTTAATTTAGCACTAATATATAAATTTCCGGAGCACTAATTTATTAATAATGTCTTCCAAAATTCACAGTGGCAACTGGACTTAGCAAAGGGTAGTCTTATTCGATTTGCGCGCGATCTAAATTAAAATCTTACTAACTTACCCGTGTAGTTAAAAGATTGAGCTTTACGCAAATTAAATGGCGGGAGTTGAGCTGTCCAAATAACTGTCAAACAGCTCTTCGAAAGTTCGAATTTCCTGCTCCCAAATTTTCGGGGAAAATGCTGCTCCCTGGCAGTTTCGAATAGGATTTTATTCTCGAGAAAAGTAAAATCCGCGAGAAATGAAATCCTCGGGAATATTCAGAATTGGGCTGATAGAGTTCTGTCCTCAAACGCCAGGTTATGCCTCTAGTGTAAAGTTTGTTCAGTGAAAGGGCCAGAAACCTACACCTGCTGTGTATGCGAGAGACGGCTACACCACAACTCCATCTCAGTCAGGTGCAATGCTTGCGACGGGTGGAGTCACCTCAGGACTACGGACCCATCGGCAGCGGACCACGTCATTTGTGGCCCCCTGCTGCTCAAACAGAGCAGCCTTGACGCCTAACCCCAGTCCAGCTGAGCAGCTCAACACAAACACCACAGCACCACAACACAATAACACAATAGACCACACCACAACCACGACAGACCACACAACAGACACAACCGCAACACCACCCACACCCCGCCGGGCAACAACTCGTGGTTCCTCCTACAATCTGCACGGTATGTCAGACCAGGATATTCCGTTACGTGACATCAGTCACGTTAGGGCATGTTCAGGTCTGCGCACCACGCGAGATAGGGCATATGTATAGTACTGGTGTTGTAACTAGTACATTCGTTTCATTTATCTGTTTTTTTTTACTGCCTCCACCTCGCTCAAACCTATTCAATCCGCTCGTTTGCGCGTCGTGCCGCCTTATACAAGGCTAATAAAAGCCGCACTTTGACTACAAGCATTTCAAGCCAACTTCGGCACGCCCATTGCAAACGTTGTAACAAGACTTCAAGACGTCCCAGCTGTCACATCTGGTCCAAATCGACATTACGCACTGAAGTTCACCTACACTAGTCAGAAGATAACATCCAGGGAGGAACAAGTGGAGTATGCGGTCCTAAATCTTAGGAAGCGGCTACTAATGCAAAACCCCCAAAAAAAAAGAGTATTCTTAAAAACCTTTCCAGCTCGAGCTCTTGTTATCCGGTATTAATAGGTATTTGATTTACTTTTTAAATATTCATTAACTTTAATCTCGCATTTATGTTTACTGAACTTAATTCACTTACTAAGTATTTAAATGAGAATGGTATTTCAATGTACCCCACAGCGGTGCCATCCCCACACAGCCGACAAGTGTCTGGCATCGATTGTAATTTGCCAGTCTCTGAGCGCATAATGATCTTCTTCAGGGGCGCCAGTATACTGCCACACTTGCTGCACACCAGTGTGTGTGTCTTATCAGAGTTATGAAAAAGACGATCTTGCAGAAGAAAGGCGGCACCATGTGAGATCAAAGCATCACGCTCCATCTCTCCGAAACGGACACCACCACCGCGCTTGCGACCCTTTATGGGCTGTTGCGTAATAGCATCAACTGGACCTGTGGATCTCACTTGCCACTTATCGAACACCATGTGACGAAGTCGTTGATAATGAACTACACCAAAGAATATGTCTGCTGACATTTCACGTCCATCTACACCGGAATAAAGACGTTCTGTGCCGTAATAATTATATCCACCGGCTTCTAGTAGGCGACCGAAATAATCGATTGCGGTATGTTTTTCTGAGAAGCGAAATGGCGTTGCGTCGTGTACGAGTCCGTGTAAGGCAGCGCTTTTGCCCGCCATGGTTTCGATCATCATAGCGATTGTCATTCGAGAGGGGAAACCATGTGGGTTGAAAACAATATCCGGTATTAGCCCCGTTTCGCTGAAAGGCAAGTCTTCAGCCGGATAACGCTGCGAACAAATGCCTTTTTGTCCGGCACGAGATGCAAATTTGTCGCCAATTGTAGGCGGTCGAGGTATGCGCAGAGTCACACATACCATTCGACGCGCGTTTGCCTTAAAGTTACCGCAATAACGTACACTATCTACAACGCAGTCTTCTTTTTCGTCTAATTTTACAACTTTATAGGTTGAAGTATCCACATCGAAGTAGCTAAAATTACATAGTTATGCAACCGAACTCTAAATATTTAAATTTTGTCATACCAGTAGAAAGGACAACCATGCCATAATTTTGTGCCAGCGTGAGGCAAACCATCATTGTCCAAGATCTTATTTAGGTCGGGCAAATGTGGACTACGGGCGAAAAAACTAGCCCCATCTAATTCGATAAATTTTGATTTATAAATGCTACCATAAGCAAAGCCACGCTCATATGCACACTTGTTGATAATCATGGCATCCTCCATATCATAACCTGTGTATGAAATCACTGCCACTATAGCATTTGTTCCCATAGCGAAGTCATCAAGCCTGACGTTATCATGATGTACAGGTCTAAAAAGCGGTGTTGTTGGGGTTTGTAAACGGTACAATTTATTGGCAGCTTGCTTTGGCCAGTTAAGGCATGGTGTGCCCATAGTTTGCTTACCCATCTGACATTGATACATGTTTCTGAAAATTTGTTTTAGCTAATAATGTATGTAGAGCTACTAAACTGCAAAATAGTCGTGACTGTCTTACCTTGGAGATTGATTGTAGTCTGGCATTGGGATCAAATTCGCCAAATTGCTGAGAAATTCAGTTTTAGACAATTCCATATGAGTGGTAAAGCCAGGATAGAACTCTTTTAAGTCGATTGCAATATCCATATATACTTGCTCCAGTGAGCCAATATACTCGATTTTTCCAACAGCTAAATTTCGAACTGGTCGCATAAAACGTGCGGGTCCCACAAAGAGAAATAATCCTGGAAATTGTCCTTTTGCTTTATAAGGTATGTATGCGATTTCCATCATTTCAGGCAAATATCCATCAATTTTCAAAGTACGTAGTCTGTTTACAATTTTTTCCGCATCCACTTGACGTATGTGACCCAATAGTTTTCCCTCCAAGAAGACCACAAATAATTTTGAATTTGTATCGT